GAGTGAAACCCTGACTCAAAAAAAAGGTACTTCCAATGCACAAGCGACACTTATTTTACATTTGTAGCAGTGACATCAAACTTCCCTTAAAAATATATTTAAGTTAAAAATACAAGTAATTTCGCCAGGCACGGTGGCTCATGCCTGTCATTCCCAGCACTTTGAGAGGCGGAGGCAAGAGAATTGCTTGAGCCCACAGGTTCGAGACCAACTTGGGCGACATGGTGAGGCCTTGTCTCTCCAATAAATCAAAAAATTAGCCAGGCATGGTGTTTTGTGCCTATAGTCCCAGCTACCTGAAAGGCTGAGGTGGAAGGATCGCCGGAGCACAGCAGGTTGAGGATACAGTGGCTGTGAGCATGATGCCGCACTCCAGTCTGGGTGACAGAGTGAGACTCTGACTACAAAAAAAGAAGTACTTTCGAGAAGATGAAACAAGAACAGCCCAAGTCCAGGAAGCCTTGCCCTGTGGGATGCCTGCTGGGGGCTCCGCCTGGTGTGAAACCATCCTGGGAGCACAAGCAGGCACACGCTGCACACCCACTTCCTAGGGCCACGTGCCTCAGGAGTTCAGTGCAGCCGCCTCCTGCGAGTGGCCTCAGCAGCAGAGGTGGTCCTTGGACCTGGGGCCGGGAGAGCAGCCATGCACCTCCCCCGTTTCTGCCCTGGGGTCCAAGAGGCCCCTGTGCCCTCGCACTGGTGTCTGTGGAGACCCTCGCGGTCACCGCCCTGCAGGACGTCCTGCCTCCCCAGCACACAGGAGGCTCTCCCACCTCCCCAGCCTCCTGCCCTGTGCCGGCCCGTCAGGAGCTCGGCTGTTCTGCTGGTCTCCAGCACCCAGAGTCTGGCGAGCTGGCTGAGTGTCAGACTGGACGCCCCGGACACTGAGTGTGGCACAGCAGGTGCAGGGGCGTGGCGGTGGCCTAGGGCCCTCCCCCCGCCACCCAGGAGTGGGTCTCACGTGCCCCTGCTGACTAGGTGCCGCCTGCCCTGCCTCAGCACCCAGCACCAGGGCTGGCACAAAGACCGTGTTGTCAGTACCTGTTGCCGGGGCAGGTGCTTAAGGTGTCACCAGGAGCTGCATCCCTGAGGGCATCAGGCACCCATGGGAGGAACGGCACGTTCTGCCATCCACTCCAACAGGGCTGCAGGCGGCACCCAGGCCTGTGGTGGGGAGCCCCCACCCCCCCTCAGCTGGCCATCGGAGAGCGAGGAGGCTGGGCCAGAATGGCTTAGAATTGGGAGGCAGGTCTGGGCCCCCAAGACTGAAAAGGAGTGAACAGCTGGCCCACCTTGCGCCTCTAAGTGCACCAATACGAGGATCAGTCCAAGGTCTGTTAGGAGTGGAGGAGCTCTCAAGCTTTGAACTAGTTTATCCGAATCCCCCGAGACCTCTCTTCCCAGGCACCTCAAGCCCAGTCTCTCCAAACAACCCCTAATGGCATGGGTTTGAGAGCAGCCTGGGCAACTTGGGGAGACCTTGTCTCTCAATAAATCAAAAAATTAGCCAGGCGTGGTGGCATGTGCCTGTAGTTCCAGCTACTTGGAAGGCTGAGGTCAAGGCTACAGTGGCCGTGAGCGTGCCACTGCACTCCGGCCTGGGCAACAGAGTGAGACTCCGACCCCAAAATAGAACTTTATATCAGAGATCATCATGTCAGCACCAGTTCTCTTGTGGGCGATGATCTGTGGTGGAGGGAGTTCTGGTGGGAGACACACACCATCATGCGCATCGGGGGACTTGGGACTGAGGGAGGGTGCTGGGAGCGTTGCAGTGGCTCGGCAGTAACAACATGCATTCACACGCGAACGCGAACACACACACACACACACTCAAATGTGTGGAAATGTGGCAGAATTCTATTGGAAAAACCTAGGTGGAGGGCATTTTAATGTTTTTTTCCAACCTTTCTGTTGGCTTGGCTTTTTCCTAAGAAGAAAAGTTGGAGACCAGTGCAGTGGTTTGGGAGGCCGAGGCGAGAGGACTGCCTGAGCCCAGGGGTTCGAGACCAGCCTGGGCAGCTTGGTGAGACCTCATCTCTACAATAAATCAAAAAATTAGCTGGGTGTGGTAGTGGGCGCCTGTCATTCCAGCTACTTTGAAGGCTGAAGTGGAAGGATCGCCTGAGCCCAGCAGGTCAAGGCTGCGGTAGCCAGGTTCCTGCCACTGCACCCCAGCCTGGGTGACAGAGACTCCGACTCAAAAAAAAAAAAAAACCATCTGAGTAAAGTGTTCCAGGGTTGGGGGGAGGAGCCAAGACGGAAAGAAGTCCTCATGCTTCTGGGACTCGTTTTTTCCATAACTTAAGGAGACTGAACAGAGAGCTCTGGAAGGACCCTCCCAACCCCAAGGCTCCAAGTATGTACAGAGGAGCGTATGTCTGGGTTTTCTAAGGAGTAAAGCCCGGACCCACTTGCTGAGAAGTTTCTAGTTGAGGGGTCAAGCCAAGGCACAGACGCACCGCAGAGCAGAGAGCTGCAGGTGTCGGGACGCCCTGAGGGTGCTGGGGACAGAGGCCCAGTGCTCCCAGACACTTGGGAGGTGCCCTGGGGTGGGTAACCCCCGGTCCCTCCGGCTCCTGGCCCAGCACATTGATGTGATTAACTCCGAACAGGCCTCCACGTGAGCAAACACAGCATGAAGTGGGCTTGGGAATTCCAAATATCTACATGAAAGGCAGCGCCCAGGGCCTCAGACTCCCGCAGCCCCTCCCCAGACAAGTCCACTGCAGTCAGCACAGAGGTTTCAGGTGCCCCAGGGGGCCCACTGCCGTCCACCCAGCCGACAAGCCCCACCCCACCCACCGCAGGCTTCTAGTGCAGAGGGCGGGATCTCGAGTTACCAAGGGCTCCGGGGCCGCTAGTGCCAGGGAAGGGCAGGGAGACCGTTCCTTGGCCTCAGCGCAAGACCCTGCAACGTTGCCAGCACCCTGGAGAGCCAGGCTCCTCGTGGATGCTCTGCGCTGATGGTTTAGCTCAGTCTTGACAGCTGTGCAGGCCAGTACCACTGACCCCAAGAGAAGCTGAGGGCAGAGAGGTTCTGTCACTTGCTAACGGCCACACGGCAGAACCAGGACCCCAGCCCAACATGCTGGAGGCTCACGCTGGGGTGCCCGGCAGAGCACGGCGTGATCCAGAGGGCACCTGCAGCCAGGTTGCCAGCCTCAGGGACGCCAGCGGCGGCGGACAGGATGGCCGGCAACAATAGAGCAGTGCCTTTCTTTCTCTTGGAAGGCAAGAGTTCCCTCCGCCTCCGATGCCCCGTCTCATGAAGGTGAGGAGCCATCGGAGGGCGGGGGGCTTGTCCTTTATGATATGTCAAGTCCACCCTGTAGGCTGTTTCCATGCCAAGGTCCAAGGCCAGTCTTCAGCCCTCGCCCCTCACTCTCCTGGCCAAGCTTGCGACAGGAAGTTTATTGATGCACAACTGGCAGCAGCGGGAATAATGACTGGTAGGAACAGGGGCGAGCTGAGTTTCCAGCCACTGCGGCTCAGCCGCCCGTGCTGCGCTGCCCAGGCTCCGTGGCCGGGTCATGCCACCGCACTAAAACCCAGGGGAACAGCCAAGCCACCCGACCCTCGGGCAGTCCCCAGGGGCCAGCAGGAGGGAAGGATCCCAATTCCTGGTTTGGGTAGGTAGCGGGGCCTCAAGACTTCACAAGGCCAAGAGGTCCAAGCCCCCAGACATACCAGGTGGCGAGGAGGAAGCTGCAGGCGTTGCGGGCCGGGTGGAAGATCCCCTGACAGCGCAGGGGATCAAGCCAGGCAGATGCATCAACGGAGAGAGACGCTGTGAGGGCACAATGGGCAGGCAGCCAGGGTGCCCATGTCTGCTGCCAGGAGGCAGTGGCCTGAGGCTCCTCCCGGCGGAGTCCCACCCTCTCTGGGCTGGGGCGAGGTGAGGACTCCCCTCGGGCACGTGGGCTCCCGCCATGCAAACGAGGCAGTTCTATCAGCAGCTGCTGCTGGACTTTGAGTGTAGGCCACTCTTGGGGAGCCTCTTCAGTGCTTGTTCTCTTATTCTGAGATCTGCTTCCTCCAAGTGGTTACCCAGTTTACCCAACTGAGGCTGGCCTGATCGGGCCCGCAGTGCACAGCCAGCTGGTCTTAGCTGTGGCAGGGAAGGGTCGGGCCCTCTCCCAGCTCTTTCTGCAGTGTCCTTGGGATAAAAGCCAGGAAGTGGGCAGGAAGTTCGGGAAGAGGGGGGTGGGCCCGGGCATGGCAACAGCACTACAGCGGGCAAGTGGACTCAAACGCTGTTCCTTTTTTCCTCAGGCCTCCCTTGACTTTGCTGGATCTGAGAAACGGCATCCTGACTGCAGGTCACTTGAAGCGCCTGGAACTCAGAAATGGGGGATTTCCACAGGAGACAGCTACCCGACTGTGAACCCCACACTCGTAAAAGCACATGTAAAAGCACAAAGTGCCATTAAACAAACCAACACCCCACCCTCCCTTGTCCTATTTCCTTGGGAAATGGGCAGTCCAGGTTCTCAGGTGTGAGCAGGGTGTCTCTCACGGTGTTTCAGGACAGGGTGCCCTGGGCCTCTGTGCCAGGGCAACTGTAGGGCAGGGCAGGGCAGGGCCGGGCCCACCCCAAGGAACCCTAGGAGCATGGGCTGCAACCTCATCTTCCAAGGCTGGGAACCACAACTGTGACCGTTACCCTCCGTTGAGTTCCTTGGATGATGAGCAAATTGCTAGGCACTAGACTAGGAAGGAGACAGGCCAGCCATATGAATAGAGTAAATGCTGTTTACAGCAGGAACAGAGGGTCTTATGTGCTCAGAGGGGAGTCCAGAAAGGCCTCAGCATTTCCCAAACCATCAGGGCAGCCTCCCAGAAGCTGTCAGAAATGCAAATGCCAATCCCCCCACAACCAGGCCTGCTGAGTCAGACTCTGGGGGCGGGCCCAGCAATCTGTGTTTGAACAAGCCCCCAGGTAATTCTGATGCAAGCCAGAGGCTCCCAAGAATGGCAAACTGCCTAGTAACCAGTAGCTTGTTTCTGCAAATAAAGTTTTATTGGGACACAGCCGTAACCCTTCGTTCACAGGGTTTGCGGCCATTTTTCTGCTAACCAGGAGTTGGCAAGTCGTGACAGACAGTGTGGTCTGCAAAGTCTGCTTCTGCCAAATGACTGGGCCTCCTGTGCTGGAGAAGAGTCTAGATTAGCACCAGGCGGTCTTCAGAGTTGCTCCTATGCACACTGCACGGCCGAAAGTCCCCTTCAGTCCTGCCCGGCCCAACCTCCTCCTCCGAGCACGGGGCTCAACCACCTTCCTGTGACCTGTCAGTGTCCCTGAAGACCCTTCCTGAGCCTCCTGTGAGACAGCAGAGGAGCCAAGACCTGAAGAGACACCTTCCCAGTCCCACCAGCACAGGGCGCTGCCTGTGTCTTCCGAGGCCAACCCGGGGGATGCACAGCCAGGCAACAGCGTGGGGTGCTCTTTTCTGCCCCCCCCTTTCACTTCAGCTGCTGGGAAGAAGGAACACTATGCAGGACAAAGACAAATGCAAAAAAGACCTCACACGGGAGCGGGGGGGGCGCAGCTGAGACTGCTTAGTATGGAGAGGGAAGGGTGGGAGACTGGTCCAGCCAGCCGCCAAGAGGGCAGGGCACTGCTGGGCCAGGGATGGCAGAGGAGAGAGGACTGCCTGAGCCCGGGGATTGAGACCAGCCCAGGCAACTTGGGAGACCTCGTCTCTACAATAAATTGAAAAAATACTAGCTGGGTGTGGTGGCGCATACCTGTAGTTCCAGCTACTTGGAAGGCTGAGGCGGAAGGCTGAGGCGGAAGGATCGCCGGAGTCCAGCAGGTCAAGGCTGTGGTGGCCGTGAGTGTGCCACCGCACTCCAGCCTGGGTGACACAGTGAGTTTCCAACTCAAGAAAAACCACCACCAAAAAACACTCCTTGGTGCACTGTCCCAGCAACCCAATGCTTTTCCATTCCAACAGGAAGGGGGCAAAGAGAGGAGGTCACCCCGACTCAGTGCCCATGGTCAGGCACTTCCCAGCAAGCTCAGCTAATGAAATGCACACTTTCAGACGAGGAACCTGAGCAGCAAAGGGAAAGGATGGGAACGGCAGTGAGACCACAAAGACCCCACCCAGGCTACACAGCCCACAGAACAATCCGTCAGGGAAATACTACCTTCACAAACTCCCGTTTCTTCACGCTGTTAAACACCCTCAAGGGTGGGGAAGAACACCCCAGACTGGGCGCCTTGCATGTTGTCCCCCAAGTACCCCCACGTAACACACTGAAAAGGCACCGAGGCCTTTTTCCGCCACGAAAAAAAGGCCACTGCGTGACTCAGGACGTGGCTTCCTGCTTCCCCAGGTTACACCGCTGCTGCCAAGTCGATCGAACGACAGACGTGCACACAGCAGAAATGAGCTCTCATGTGCAGGCACACATACTGTCGCACTTAACCCTCCAGCAGTCCAGTCAGGTGGCATCGCCATTTCCTGGAAAAAATGGAGGCTCTGCGAAGTCACTCCCTCCGGCAACGACGCTGGGAGGTGGCGCCAGAGCAGACCCAGCACAGGAAGCCTGTCCTCCCAGGCGGGAGGGCCGCAGGAGGCTGACCGAGGACCCTGGCCTGCTCAGCGCCCGCTGTTGCCGCCTGATGAAGATGGGGGGCATTAAACACATTCGCACAAATGCCCGCCAAGCCTTGGAGCAGGCCTGGGGAAAACAGAAGAGGGGCGATGAGCTCCCCAGAATGCCTTCTCCAGGGACCCTCAGCCAACCATGCAACCAGCCAGCAGCCAGGGCGCGGCTCCAACAGCCCACCCCAGGAGGCCCCTGCCAGCCTCTGGGAGACACGCGCCCAGGACACGCCACGGGCTCCAAGATGCAGTGGGGAGGGTCCGTCCGGCGCCCCCACCTGCCACTCCAGGCTCAGGGCAGGCTGGGCCTTGGAGCTGCTGCTTGACCAGACACTCCGAAGCTGATCTTGAACTCAAGGTCAATGGCAGGGCACAGAGGACGCGCTGCCACAGATGCTCTTCTCTGGGACAGGGAGTCCCGCTGTCAGCACTCTCCAGCCTCATCGCTGACGCTTCCGTTGACTGACTCGATGCTGATCACTAGAAGCACCCACCTGGATGTAAGCGGACTCATTATATCCCAAGGAGCAGTTCCTGTTGGTGTAGACATCAGCTCTAGAGGTGGCTGTGGACAGGCCTTGAGGGCACCAGCTGTCGGGTCTCACCTTTCCCCTGTGCCAATGATTTGCTTTAAATAATCACTTTTTAAAAAAGGGATTGCAGGCCGGACGGTGGCTCATGCCGGTAATCCCAGCACCGCGGAAGGCCGAGCCAGAGAACCGCTTGATGCCAGAAGTTCGAGACAGCCTGGACGATGTATCTTGACTGCATTATTAAAAGGACGCTTTTAAGATGTGGTAACTTTTTAGACTTGGAAAGGCCCTTGGAAGTCCTCTGGCCGGATCCACGCTCGGAGATGAGGCCGCCGAGCCCTCTCCGGGTTTCGGACACTTGGGGCCGTTCGGAGCGGCGGTTGCCTGGATCGCCGGCTCCGCTGACAGCACCTGCCTCATCTGCGGTCCTCCGTGGGGGAGAGGCGGCCACCTCCTGCCCCACCGCGAGGGAGGCTGGCCTCTCCCTCGGGCCTCCGCCGGGCCCTTCAGCCCTGCCCTCGGCTGCCGCCCCCGGGCTCTCTCCTCTCTTCGGAAATCTGTGTCTCCAGCCTCCCGGGCGCGGCCATGGGTC